GGGAGGTGGAGAGGCTGGTGTTGGGGTGAGAGGCTTGTGGGAAGCCGGTGGTGGCAGTTGGGCTCTGAGGGTTTTTCCTGAGGAGCTGTTTTGTTTGGCCTGAGTGGTTCTAAAAATAAAGTTCGTTACTTTTGACAAGTGGCTCCTGAATTGTGCCCAGTCAGACTTCGGCAGACTTCCTACTTGGTCTTCCTTCTTTCTTTCTTTCTTTCTTTCTTTCTTTCTTTCTTTCTTTCTTTCTTTCTTTCTTTCTTTCTTTCTTTCTCTTTCTTTCTCTCTCTCTTTCTTTCTTTCTTTCTTTCTTTCTCTCTCTTTTTTCTTTCTTTCTTTCTTTCTTTCTTTCTTTCTTTCTTTCTTTCTTTCTTTCTTTCTGGTACTCTGATTGAACTCAGAGGCACTTAACCTCTGAACCTCATCCCCAGCCCTTTTTATTTTTTTATTATGACAGAGTCTCATTAAGCTGCTCAGGGCTTCACCAAGTTGCTAACACTGGCTTTGAACTTGTGCCTCTTGCCTCAGCCTCCAGAGTCACTGGACTTCTAGGCAAGCACCACCACACCTGGTTTGACCTCATTTCTTAAGGTTCCAACGCTTCCCAATACTACCACCCTGAGGTCTATACCTCCAACGCACTGGTAGAGAGACTTACTGACACCACAGCACACAGTAATGCTCATGAGGACTGTATTAGCTTTCTGTTACCACTCTAACAAGTTGTCACAAACTTAGTGCCTTAAAATCATTTATTATCTTAAGAGTTGTGGAGGGTTAGAAGTCTGGAATGAGTCTTGCTGTGCTAAAATCAGTGTTCAACATGACTGCTTTTCTTCCAGAGGCTCTTGGGAACAATGTGTTTCTTTGCCATATCAAATTATAATTGAGAATAGGAGAGACAAAAAGGCATTCTCTTAGCTTCTAGAAGCTACTCATATTATTGGTTCATGGCTCCTTTTCTCCATTTTCAAAGCCAGCAACCTTGGTCGGGTCCTTGTCAAGACGCCATCTCTTTGGTACTCTCTTTTGCCTCCTTCTTCCACTTAAAAGGATCCTCATGGTTATACTGGACCTACCTGGATAATCCAAGATAATATCCCCATCTTAAGGTCATTTGATCTACAATCTTAATTCCTCATTGCCCTGTAACTTAACACACACACAGGTTGCGAAGATTAGGGCATGGCTACCTTTGAAGGTACATTTGATTGAAGGTAGGAAAGGAGTTGAGATACACAGGAAGTAAATTAAGGCAGAAAGTTTAAAATAAAGAATGAAAATCCCTAGTCTCTTCTAAGTTACAATCTGTTGTGGTCAAAAGCCATGTGGCCTCAGCAACTCTGGTCCCACTTGGAGCCATAGTACCAAGAGTTGAATCCTAGCCTAGTCGGACATTGAGGATGTAGGTCACTTACACCCACTTTCCTAAGCCACAGTTTCTCCCTCTGAGAAAGAACAGCAATACCTGCCTGCCTATCTCAAAGAATTGTGGTGATGATCACAAGATTTGCTATGATAGCCAATGCAAATACAAATCATGTTGCTTTATTATGTGTAGGAGAAAATAAATGTTTGAATAGTTGAACGAATGAGCTCAGCTTGCTAATGACCTTATTTCAGTCAGAGACTAAATGTAGGAACAACTTTATTTATCTTATTTTAAGAAAAGGTCATGTGGGAATGACCTCATCTTCAGGGTTTATATACAACATAACCAACATGTAGACATCACCATGAAAAGAAATTCTCTTCCCTTTTTGATTGCTGACCCTTGGACTTCATATAGGACAAAACTTTATTTCTATCATTTGAGATTTGGCTTGAAATGTACCCTGCCTCGCAAACTTACCACTGAGGCTTAAGTCATTCTCGGAGCATGTTTTAGAAAGCGAGTTGAAAAAGGGGAACTAAGGGGGAAATATTTGTTCAGGAGAAACCCTTTGTCAGAGCTAACCATGATGACAAGCCAAGTCAAAGAAAAGTCTAAGAGATGTCATTAGATTTAATTAAAGGAAGAATTTTCCAACAACAACAAAAAGTATATTTTAATATGAACTAAGGGAAGAATGGGAAAACGTTTTTGTCTTGTTTTTTCTTTTTTCTTTTCCTTTAAATTTTAAACACTAATTTTCAGGGCTTTGTTATCTGAACAGCAAAAGAGGTGAATAGTTGTGTCAATGAGAGGTGTCACCCAACATTCTGGAGGGCTCTGAAAGAGGTCTTTCCTTATTTCCTCCAGTTTCCCGCCTTTGAACCTTTGGATCTCCTTTTAACCTGACAGATAGCGGCAATGTGGGCTTGAAGTCAAAAATAAAAAGTACAAACGACAAAAACCCCTAAACTACATTTGAACAACAATCTGGCTTAAAAAGAACACTGGAGGAGATTGCAGGGAATTTCATTGATTTCACCCCAGGTATCAGATATCTCCTAATCCGCTCTTGCTATGATCAAAATAGTCATCACAAACACCATGATGAAAAAAATCCACATGAAAAACCGGTCTATGACTTTGGCCACCTTCTTCCATTCGCCCCCCTTGGAGTTGGTGGCCTTGTGATCTTTGAGGCACTTGGCGATGTACTCGATGTTTCTTGTCAGTGCTTCATACCGTGCACAGTGACTGTCGGCACCCTGTGGGTTCTCACCCTGGCACCCCAGGTCGTTCTTTAAGAGTTGGTTCGTTTCCTTTTTTCTGGGAAGCTCTTTGTTCCTGGCTGTGTTCAGGTTGGACCCGGGGAGCTTGCCATACACCCTGGGGAGGTGGTCCCGCTCCCTGCTGTGGCGAGGGCCGAGGCAGCTCTCCCCCACGTCGTAGACAAACAAGATCCTGGACATGTACTTCAGGATGACCACCCTGGCCCAGTGAGGCACAGGCCGGGCCTCGGCCCCGCAGAAGTGGATATTCATCACCATTATGGTCAGGGCCGTGGAGGCTGTGATCAGGGCCATGGTGGCTATGTAGTATTTTCCTGGAATTGAAACAACGACAGCTAAGTCGGCTTTAACACAGTTCTCTGATTTGCTTAAAGAGAAAGAAACCATCACCTTTTCTCAGGAACTGGTCTATTCAGTGGTCACTAATGCAGACCTCTGAATCAAATATCTTGAGTTCAGATCCCAGCTGGACTTAGAACCTGCCACGCTTCAGATTCCTGCTGTGTGAAACAAGTATAAGAACAGTATCACGAGCTGGGTGTGGTGGCACACACCTGTAATTCCAGCAGCTCAGGAGGCTGAGGCAGGAGGATCGCCAGTTCAAAGCCAGCCTCAGCAAAAGCGAGGTGCTAAGCAATTCAGTACATAAAATAAAAAGTAAATAAATAAAAGACAAAATAGGCTGGGGATGTGGCTCAGTGGTCGAGTGCCCCTGAGTTTAATCCCTGGTAACAACAACAACAACAACAACAACAAAATACTATCATGAAAATATGAGGAGGCTTAATAGAAATGATGCATGTAAACATTTTCAGCACTGTTCTTGGCTCCAAGTTAAAAGGTTTGCAAATGTGTGCAGAGATGATGATGTGAAAAACCTTGCCACTCTCAACATACAAGCAGTTAATGAACTTGAGCAGGTCTCAGGCTTGTCTTTAAACTTTGTTAATATGGAGGAGAATTACTACTGGGTAAGAAAAGAGACACCGTGTCACTATATCTTTAAAATGGGAGTATATAGGGGCTGGGGTTGTGGCTCAAGCGGTAGCACGCTCGCCTGGCATGCGTGCAGCCCAGGTTCGATCCTCAGCACCACATACAAACAAAGATGTTGTGTCCGCCAAAAACCAAAATAAATAAATAAATAAATATTTTTTAAAAAAATAAATAAATAAAATGGGAGTATATAAAGCAAATGTACATGAAAAAGGGAAATGAAAGAAAGAAACATAAGGAGGGAGAGTTCATGAAATATAGCACAAGAAATGAAGAAGATGAACAAAACAAAGGAAAGCTTTTGGAAAGAGTAATAAACCTGGGCATGGTGATGGTGGCCTCTAGTCCCAAATACTTCAGAGACTGAGCTAGGAAGATTGCTAGCCCCGGGAGTTGGGGCTAGCCTGGGCCACATAGCCAGACCCCCTCCCAGAAAAGAAAAAGATACAAAAGAGAAGAATAAAAGAATAATAAAATTGAGGAATCTTTGAAATACCCACTCACAGGATAGAGAAAGAGAGCAAGAGGAAGAGAGAATACAAAAGAGTAGAAATTTGGAAAAAATAAAATCATATTAGAAACATCTTTATGATAATGTACTTGATAATCTAGGCGAATTTCAAGAAAAAATACCAAATGTCAAAATTAATGCAAGAAAAAAGAACGCTTGAATAAAAATGGGAATGAATTATACTGCTTCTCCCCATATAGAAAAAACTGTAGATCCAGAAGAATTTATAAATGAGTTTTATCAAACTTTCAAGGAAAAAAAATTCATATCTTATGTAAGATGTTGCAGAAACAGAAAAGGAGGGATAACTTTATTCTATGAAGTCAATTTAACCTGATCCTTAAAGTGATGAGAAAAGAAATATTAAGACAATTTCGCTTAGAGACATATTTGAAGAGTTCTATATAAATATTAACTAACTGAATCCCATATTGTCTTCAAATATTAATATGTCATGAAAAGGGAGAGTGTGGTCTAGAAAACCTTTTGATATATTTTACTCTATTAATGTGTGAAAGAGAAAACTCACGTGATTATCTTAACAGATGAAGAAAAGCATTTGATAATGTTTATAGTCCATTTATTATTTGTTAAAAATTCAGGTCAATTTAAAAGTGGGGGTAGTTTTGTTTTGTTTTTTTGTAAGTAAAGATCACGTGCCAGAAACACACACCAAATACTGTATACTTAATGTGGAAAACTTAAACATGTTTCTGTAAAATTGGGCACACATTTCCTAGGTGCTACTAATAACAAATTGTGACTGTTAATCTTCTCAAGAACTGTGTATACACTTCCTGAAAAAAAAAATTCATGCCATCATAGAAACAAAACAAGTGATGCTTGCAAAATTCCAGAGAGTCATCTCTCTTTAGAAATTGTGCTAACTAGATGTTCAACGTCAAGGCTAAAGAAGAGAGGATCTGCCAATAGATCCACTTCAAACAGAGTTATGATTGGCTGTCATTACTGTAAATCATTTCTTCCTCAGGAGAGGCAATAACAATGCCAATGTCGCTCTTGCTTTTTATTACTGGAGAGGCAAACTTAGTGTGTTTATTTCTCAAAAAGGTAGGGGTGTGTGTGTGCGTGTGTGTGTGTGTGTGTGTGTGTGTAGGTGTTGCTAGAAGAGAAATGAAAAGGAAGAAATCTCCAAAGAAACCAATTCCATACTGGATTAGTTAGAGAGGATTCCATAGAGAGGAAACTGGATTCCACAGAGAAGAAAAGATCATTCAGCCTCCCTTTGAACCAAGGGACTCTAAATCTCTTGGAGATCTCAAATTTTTCCTCATTGCTTATTTTAAAGAACTAAAAATTAGATCTAGGTTTTTATTCTGGTAAGTATCTATTCCGACAGCAAGTTTCGGAGATGGAGGCATTGACTCTCGAGGACATCCCCAGTGGAGGAAGTAGGTGTTAATGGTGACAGGAGAGATATCAGACCAAGGTAGGTAAAGGAGCAGGGAGATGAGGATGATCACCTCATCCTATATTTACCCTTGGAGAAACATTTCACCATTGCAGAGTTTTGAAAATGTGGTCTGCTTTAGAATGAGCTTCATTCAATTCCCAAACGTTGGTCAAAATTGTTAAACCCAACTCCTTCAGTTTAAGAAGCTGCATTTTAATAAGTTCTTGCACTGCTCTTATACCCAATAAATGTGAAGAACTATCTCATTAAGGCTGGATGTCAGGCTTAGAATTCCAGCTCAGCTTTCTATCATGATTCCCAGTCTTCCCCGGGGGAAAGCCCTCATAATGTGAAGAGATAATAAAAGTCACTGTTAACTCAATCCTTGCCATATGCCAGGCTCTGCACCAAGCATTTTCTCAGGAGGCAGCAATTATATAAATGTTGGCAGATGATGAAGCAGAGACTTAGAGGTGAAGTAACTTGCCCAAGGTTGATCTAGGAGTCACCGGTAAAGTCAGGCTTCTTTGGCTTCCAAAGCTGAGCCTTAACTTCTGAGTCAGTGGTTTCCAGACTTGCACAGAAAGTGCATCAGAGTCACCTGGAAGGCTTGTTTAAACAGACTGCCAGGCCTTTCTTCTAGAGTTTCTAATTCAGTAGGTCCAATGTGGGCCCTGAGAATTTATACCTGTAAGTGCCCAGGTGATGCTGAGGTGGTGTGTCCCGGGACCACCATTTTGAGAACCATTGCTCTAAACCGTAAAGCATCTTGTTGTTCTTTGTGTAAACCCAGAGACCAAAAGACCAGTTTTGTTCCCATAGCCCCATCTAAGATACCAACTGCAGACCCTCAGGGAACCACGCCACAGCCTATATCAAGACTCAAGTTGGCCCAAACGTCACAATGTCAAGGCAGAATCACATCCTCCGGTCACTACCAAGCGAGACTCAGAGACACTTGAACTCACCTATCAGAGGGACATTTTCTGAGGCTGGCATGATCTCTGCCACCATGAGCTGAAACACGGTCATGGCCAACAGGATGGTCACTCCCAGGGAGACCTTCTCCCCAGAGGCTGCTGGGAGATAAAAACTCAAGGGAGCGAGAAAAGATATGAGGACACAAGGGACGAGGAGGTTGACTATATAGAACGAGGACCTCCTCTTCAGAAGGAGGGTGAAGGTCACATCCGGGTAAGGCTCAGAGCAGCAGCCATAGGAGATCACGTTCTTCACGGCAGGCATGCCATTGACCTCCCATTCCACGTCTTCGATGAAATCCGAGAGATCTCCGCTGTCCAGAGCGTTGAATATGTCCACCTGATTGCCATTGTAGGTCCAGGAACCAAAAGTCAGGTTGCACTGCTGGCTATCAAAGGGGAAGTAGGTGACATCCACCACACAGGAACTTTTGGTGATGGCTGGTGAATCCCAGGTGATGAGTCCATCGTACCGCAGGACCACATTGGTATTCACCGGCTCTGAAGACTCGTCATCAGCCCTGGAGGTCAGATGAGGACAATGACTATCTCTTCCTAAGAGAACTCAACTGCCTTACCCAAGATATTTCACTGCCTTGTGCCGGGCACTTCAGTGTCCTTGGCAATGGATTAACTTTCTACCTGATATCCCGGCTTGAGAGTTTGGATTCACCTCTCATGTGCCCTTCTCTCCCATCTCCAGTGACATACCAGGACCAGGTTCTCTTGGATTGTTCCTTTAAAACACCTCTGCTCTATGTTCCTTCCATCTATTCCCAGTGCTACTCCCTTGGTCCAGGTCAATGATTTGAACATCCAGACAAAAATTAGCCTGTTGAGACTTAAATCTGCTTACCTGATTTTGTTCACATAGGCCCCAGAACATTAAAAATACCTTTTTGTTGTTGTTGTTGTAAGAGTTGTCTATTTGTATTTAGAACACACAGGGGAAAACAATCATTCATCCATAATCTTAGAGATAATCACTTATTCAGGTTATATCTTCCTTTGCCTTATCAAAATCTATGCCTTACATTTTTGAGTATAGAAATTCTATTTTTCCTTTAGAAAAAAAGTACTCTTTCTCCACTGCCATTGCAAAGGCAGAGGAACCATTTGCATGAACTCATGAGCACATAACTGGCTTCTCTAACATGGGGCACTAGGGTCTCTTGACTTAGGATTTTGCTTGAGCTTGCAAGGAAGCATTTCAGTAAGAGCTGTTCACTGCCTTGGAAAAGCAAAGCAAGCCAGAGGAGAGAACCAGCATTCTGTTGGTTTTCCAAGGAAAATTGTTAGGACTTACAGAATGCCATCAGAAACCATCTAAGCCAATTGCATGCTCAAGGGTGAACTGGAGTCATAAGGCACCAGTTACATTCTTGAATGTTATGTGGCTTGGAAGGACTATGGAGGATCCCCCTACTCACTCAGAGTGGGGAATGGACAGCAGGATTGGGGCTATGATTCAAGAGATGGTGCTCCTTGGATGAGCTCTCCGAGTAAGGAGTGACACTCAAATCCAAGCTGCCTCTTACTAGTCTTGCTTCCTTAAGGGAAAATTTGTGCCCAGTAGATGCTCCACCCAGGGAAGAATCCTGTCCCAAACTACCTGTCAGTCACATCGTTCTGAGCAACAAAAGAACCTTTCTCAACTCACAGAAACTTGTTTGAGAGAGGGGGGGTGCGGGGGGAGAGAGAGAGAGGATCCCTCAACAACAGGTGAAAAAACTGAGCTTGGATTGTGAGGAGATCTCTGGTTCCCTCCCATAGTGTGGCCTGTGGATGGGCAGTACCAACACTACCTGGAGCTTGCAGAAAGGAAGAACACAGGCCCACCCACCGAATCTGAATCTGTATTTTGACAAGATTCCTAGGTGATTTGTGTGCACTTTATAGTTGAGGAACACGATTCTTACCTACTTATTTACCCAAGGCCCCTTGCTCCAAGAGTGGGAAAGAGTCAACTGTCCTATAAGCCTGTTTACAGAGTCCAAAATCCATAGTCCATCTTCTAGATGGACCATTCCAGTTTCATTTTTGTAGGATCATTGTTATTGATATATAATCATGAACAGTGAATGCTGCTGTTCCATAAATTGTATCCCCAGAAAATTCGTATTTTGAAATCCTAATAGCCCCACATCTCCGAATGGGACTTTATTTAAGATTGGGATCTTGTGGGCTGGGGTGGTGGCTCTGTGGCAGAGCGCTTGCCTTGCACATGTGAGGCACTGGGTTCGATCCTCAGCACCACATAAAAACAGATAAACAAAATATAAAATAAAAGGATATTGTGTTCATGTATAGCTAAAAAATGTTTTTTTTAAAAAAGATTGGGATCATTGTAATCCCATCATTATGTATAACTTTATTGAACCAATATAAAACGTGGAAAGAGGGAAAAAAAAGATCAGGATCGTTGTAGATATGATTAGTTAAGATGAGATCATGCTGGAATAGGGTGGGCATCGAAGCCAAGATCCCTGGTCTCCTTATAAAATGGGAATTTTAGGCCCAGGTAGGAGAAGGAGAGCTTCAGGTGAAGATGAAGGCAGAGTTCAGGGTGTTGCTCCTACAGTTCAAGGAATGTTGAAGATGTCAAGAAACCACCAGAAGCCACAGGACAGGCTTGAACACACTACTCCTCCCAACCCTCAGAGGGCGCCAACTCTTGATTTCACATTTCCAGCCTCCAGAACTGCAAGATCACGAATTTTTGTTCTCTAATTCACCCAATGTGTGCTGTTTTGTTACAGCAGCTCTAGCAAACTAATGCAGCTTCCAATTTCTCACCTGAAAAAAGGAGACTATAGACGGAATTTGATGGTTTCCTTCCAGTTCTGAGCTTCTATGACCTATTATTTTACTATTTGAGCTTTCATGACCATTATTTTAAGGTCTAAAAACACTGATTAATCCTTAAATTCATGCATGTTTTAAAAATTCCTTTTTCATTATGTGTAGGTTCTATTAAATCAACAGGTTCATTCCAGGAAAACCTGGAATTGTACTTACTTGTTATAAAGAACAATGTCTGGCCTCCACACCAGGTCACTGGGAATCCTGATGGAGTCCAGCCCATCATACTGGTCTCGATCCCACGTGAGATATGCATCATGCCAGATTTGGCGGATCCACAGATAGGCAGTCAGAATTTGGTTTCTTTCATCCTACACAATGAATCTAAATGTCACTTTATCTGATTGACACTTCAACCAAATGCATTGCATCTTCAGGAAACTTACTCTTCACAATTAATAAGTGAGATTTTCAATTAGTAAGTGATAACTTTTTAATTCTGTCCTTTTGATGGACTACCAAGGCCATTTTTTCCTTCTTGTCTCAAATGCAAAGTGGATAGATATTTAAGTCTTTGAATTTTTGCATGGATCGACTGCTTGATTTTCAATAAAAAGGGATCAACTAATAGAGGGAGAAAGAAATATTTACCATGCACAGAGGAAAAAATCCTTATATGTGCACTAAAGCAATGAGATGACATAGCTTACAATGTCAGCTTACTTTTGTTAATATTGAGATTAAATTCACAAAACACCAAAATCATCTTAACCATTTTAGAAGTGTACAATTCAGTGGCTTCCAGTACATTCTCAAGGTTGTACAACCCTCACCACTGTCTAATCCAAGAGCATTCTCATCTCCCCACAAGAAACCCCATAACCACTGAGCAGTCTCCCACTTCCTTCCCACCAGCTCCTGGCAACCTGTCTGCTCTCTCTCTCACTGGACTTACCTACTTTGGAAATGTGGTATAAGTGGAATCATACAAAACATAACCCCAGCTTTCTTTATAGGATCTAAGACTGTTAAGTTTCATGACCAGAACTGTAGGTCACAGTAACATTAATGAACATTGGATAACATTTAGTGAAACGGTTTTGTAGAAATCTTCCCTCCACTGTTATTCTATTCTCCTGCCAGCTTGTACACAGGACTCTGCTTCATTCCCTCTCAAGTTCCCCCTTAAGACCTTCTCTTCAGGAAACATGCTTTCTTTCATCCTGAGACCCTTTCCAAATGTCACAACTATCCGTTACTCACCATATCCTTAATCTGAGAAAGGGTAATCTGCAGCGTGACATTCAGGACTTTATCTGTGTCTTCTACTGGACGAAGAGCATTGGAATAATCTTCAAAAAGGTCATTAAACAACTTCTGAGCATACTTTCCATCTGCTGTTTCTACAGCTGCTCAGAAAGAGAGAACGGTATCAACACTCAGGGTACTGTGTGTACTCCAGACAAAGAATACCAGGCTGAGGTCTAAAATGGGGGATGGCCCAACTTTGGCTAGAGAAAAGCTTTAGGTAGATGGATGATTGTTTTTCTGGCCTGTCCTACCCAGATCAGCACGAGTCAGTGGGGAGTACAGACACTTCCTGCAGTTAGATCAGTTCTCCTGTCTTTCTTGCCCCGGCCCCGACTTCCTACCAAGGAATGACCCCAGAAAAATACCCCAGAAAAATACAGCCTCTCACCTCTCAGTCTGGAAGCAACAAAATAAATCCAGCAAAAGGAGATGCAGGAATGGGGCCAGATCATCATTTTTCTGATCTTCTAAAATGTCCCTGCCAGGCAGTGTGGGCTTTTACTTCCCTCTGTGAAGGTAAAGGGACTGGGCTCAAGAGCCTGCACTGCCCCAGTCTCACCTGGCAGATGGAGAGCACAGGCTTGCATTGCACGTAGGACCAATATCTTGACATCCAGACCCACCAGCCCTCCCTTCTGGTAATAGGAGACTGGCAGCTCCAGTAGCTGAGATGCTGGGAGCTCAGGGTGTGTTAGGCAGTGCTGTTCTGGAAAAGCCACCCCAGTGGAGGGTCCCTAGCTACCCTCAGCAGGAACTCCACCTAGACCAAAGAAAAGAACTGAAGCTGGAGACAAGGGCACGCCTGACCCCCCAGAATGGGAGAACAGTAAGCAGAATGGAGATTTCCATACCTGCAGCAAGCTGACACTGCCGGAGTGCAGGGTCTAAGGGGCACTGAACAACAGATACACTCATCCAGAGAGGTCCCGGGTGCTTCTAGAAGCATCTGAATGGGGAAGGAGAAGCAGCTCTGTGATCTCTTGAACAGATTGGCATTCTGGGTTCTTCAGCACTTCTGCCTATGATCACTTCTTCAGTGGTCCCACTGGGTTTGGATTTCACATAGTCAATGTGTGAGTATTGGTGTGAGGGGGTATCGTATGGGAGAACAGCATTTATTTCCTGAAAAAGCAGCAACATTATAAATTGGATTTGGAGTTGAACAGCTGGGTGTGACTGCCAGCCCAGACCCTTAGGAGCTCCATAATTCTGGATGAGTTACCTAGATTCTGAGTGCTCCCAAACTACCGACTAGGGAAAATGATATTCTCTCTTCCCCAGAGCTACCAATATACTGTATATGGAGGCACATTGTAAATTGGAAAGCATTATGTAGGTGCTAATGATTTGCACCTCTGTTCAGCTTTGCAGATCCAGAATTTCTACATTTACCAAGTCATCAAGGGTTTGTGGGCTCTTTAAATTTAATTAAAAAAAAAAAAAAAAGATGATTCAAAGGCTAACCAAATCAGCATGAGAACAATTCCTAACCAGCGACTATGTTACTAAGGACGCTATGCTTCCCCCTTTGCATTTGAATGCTACTTTGTATAATTTCACAGTCATTTCTCGTATGGGATCCAATTTTGCTCCCACAAAAGAATGTCGATTTCCAATTGCTAATGAAGTCTGGGCTCTCATGTCTGCCTCTCGTCTTGCCTGGGGAAACTGCCTTGGAAACCAAATTAAGATAATTTGGTTGCCTGGAATCAGAGCGAGGAAATTGGATAGCTCTATTTCATCGAGTTACAGCCATCTGATGAGTCACCCGCTCCTCTTCAGGAACATATCCTCCGCACGGAAGGGTCATCCAAGCCGTCAGCTAAGTGTGTTTCTTAATTGCCTGCCCACTCATGTTCGCTGTGAAGGCTGTTTCCCTCACATGACAGTCTGACTCACCATCCAATGACCCAAGTCCTGGGGCCCAGGCTCCGGCTTCCTTCAACCTCCGGCCCTGATCTCCCAAACTGAGTGTGCTTTAGGAATTGATTTAACACTTTGTTCTCCCAGGAGGAAACTGAGATGCAGGGACGCAGAGTGGCTTGCCTCTAGCAACAGATGGCAATGACAGAGTCAAGGCCACCTGCCCCACTCTACTGTGCTTACAACACATACCTGACTCTTCTTCTTGGTGTATTTCCTTAATATGGCGTCGCATGCCGGGGGGGTGGTAACTTCCTAGTAGGCTGAGACTCTCTGCCTTATATTTCTTTTATTCTTCACGACACCCAGGGCAGCCCCTGGTCATAGGTGCTCAGTGAACACTCTGCTGGCTGCTGCGGTTGCTGTTAAAAATCTGCCTCTCAGGTAAAGGTCCTGGTGGTCTTCCATTACATCTGGTTAATTCAGTGCCTTTGGTTGGTCACTTACAAGATTTATTTTTGGTACCAGGGAGTGAAATCAGGGGCACTCAACCACTGAGCCACATCCCCAGCCCTATTTTGTATTTTATTTAGAAACAGGGTCTCACTGAGTTGCTTAGCTCCTCACTGAGGATGGCTTTGAACTTGGGGTCCTCCTGCCTCAGCCTCCTGGGCCGCTGGGATTACAGGTGTGCCCCACTGAGCCCGGCTTTTTTTTTTTTTAAATGATGATGAAAATTGATGGTCACCTCTCAATGTTAGCATGAACCAAATTAAACAAATGCTTTCCTTTGCCTTTTGAAGCCAAAATGCTAATGAATAGGAAGCAAACTCCTCTCAAATTCATTCTAAAGATGACTACTGAATGTTTTTACAGGAGCCTCTCATCCTCCACCCAAACTGTATCTCTCCATCAGCTCCAAGCCAAATCCCCACCCCACCCCGCAAAAAGAGACCCTGCAAATGGTGGTCCCATAGCTTCCAGAATGATACATGGAAGAGAAAATGACTGGAATCCACTATTTGGGGGTTCAATAAGGCCAAAAAGTTGGTACATTTCCTTAGACTGTTTTTCTTTAGATATATATATATAAAGGGGAGCTGAACAGAGGGCAGATGGGAAGGACAGATACCTTCATTCTGCCACAGGTACATTTTGTAACAAAAATTACAAAAGTCAAACATCATGTTTTGTAAAGGGTTCTTTCCCCCAGAAATTACTGACTTTAATATTTTCTCCGTGTGTTAAACAGAATCAGAACATGGCCAACACCCCAAGAGCTCCTGGAGACCAGCTACCTCAGCTCACTCACTTCACAGATGAAGAAACTGAGACCACAGAGGTCAAGTGCTCTCCCAAGCAGGCCTGGTTATCCAGGGATGGAACCCAATGTCTATATGTCACAGAGTGCTCCCTCCACATCAACAGGGCCACCAAGGGTAGGCGGGACCCCAATCTGCCCCACAGGAAGGAGTTGGATGGAAAAGGATGCTGACCTGGCACGGTGCCAGCAACCTTCAGCCTTTGGAGCTAAGATCTTGTCAGAGGAGGCTATTCTGGGTGCTCAGTGACACCCCACCTGCTCACCCATGCACACGACTTGTTGAGCTCACAGGAGGTGCCCTGATGGGCCTCCAGGCCTGAGACCATTTCACTGCTACTCCCTACATTTGCTGGATTCCTCTTGGTCATGTGTCTTAGACACACACACACACACACACACACACACACACACACACACACACACTTACCAATTTTCTTTAAAGGTGAGGTCTCCAAATTATTTCACCATGCACCAATGTTTGGAATGAGGGTCGATAGCTTAGTTACAAAGTGATGCAAAGTGCTGCTCACTAAGGCCGCATAGTCTCAACATTTTGGATTTTATGTCTGCCCTTGCTTTCAAGAAAAGCAGCATAATATACAGTTTGAGAGCACAGAACTCTGTAGTCAAAACTGCTTGGATTCAAGTCCAGCTCCACTACTTACTAGCTGTGGAACTTTGAGTAGATTACTTAACCTCTCTGTGCCTCAGTTCCTATATTTATAAAATGGGGGTGATTTATAAGAGTGACTACCGCTTAGGGTTGTTTTGAGGAATAAATGAGTTCATCTATGTGAAACCCTACCATAAAAGTGTTAAATACATGATAATTAACAGGAAAAAGAGCATGGTACCTGTAGCCACAATTCCACCATTTATCTCTCTCCCTCTCCCCACTTCCCACACGTCTCCCTTCTTCCCCCCATCCTGTGTCCCCACCACACCACCATCCCCCACAACTTCTCAACAGACCTAGGAAGAGAATACTGGTTTTATGTGACAAACAGCTTGTACTGCAGGTGGGAGAATATCAGTTCTGCCATTTTCTTGTCTTTTTTTTTTTTTTTATTGCAATGGTAACATCCTTGTGGATTTATTTATTTACTTACCTATTTTTGTAGTAGTCTTTTTAATCCTGTGATGTTCTACATGAGAGTTATCAGATCTAAATCTGTCACAGAGATTGGCAGACTCTTTCTGTGAAGAACTAGATAGTAAATATTTTCAGCTTTGCAGGCCATATGGTTGCTGTAACAACCACCCCACTCCCTTGGATGTGGGAGCAGCCATAGGCAAGATGAATGAGCACGGCTGTGTTCCAATAAAACTCTATTTACAAAAATAGCTGGTAGGCCATCATCTGTGGACCCATGGGCAGATGCATAGCAGGACGAAGGCTGACCCCGAGTGAACTCAGCCAGTTCGTTCTGTCTTCCCCACGAGCTGGTATGCACCAAAGGAGTCTTTCTAATGAAGAGCCAGAATACAAGGGGACTGGAGAGCACACAGCAGCCCTGTTTGAAGTCTGGAGCCTGAACGAGCCTCCTCCCTCCCACAAAATGACCATTAGAGCATCAAGGGCCAGGAATTACAATCTCCCCAAATGCGGCCAGGGGCTGTCTGTGGAGAGAATGGGGGAAGTGTGTCAGAACACTCAGCCCCATGAGTCCCACCCAGGAGCCGGGGGTGGGGTGCTAGCCCTTTCCCTCACAGGTGAGAGTCCCAGAGCACTGCTTCGTTTCTAGGTTGTGACCTTGATCCCCCAGCTGTACCCAAATGCATTTGGCTGGGGAAATGCAGATTAAATCAGAACAAAAGGGATTCAGAAAGAGAGAAGGGAAGGTCCCCTGGGGAAACAAACAGTGGCGTCATATCTCACTGTGCTCTGGGTCCCAAAAAGGGTCTGAGCTTGATACGGGGCTGGCATGTTAGAGGTGTGCAGTGCATTCTTCCAAGTGAAACCCAGCAGGAACTTGGTGCTTCTGAGCATCATGAAGGAAAAGTCCGACTCTTGAGTTGGCTCTTTTTTTTTTCCCCCCCTTTAGTACTGAGGATGGAACCCAGGGTTGCTTTACCACTGAGCCACATCCTGAGCCCTTTTTATTTTTGCTTTTGAGACAGGGTCTCATTAAGTTGGTTAGGGTCTCACTAAGCTGCTGAGGCTGACCCCAAACTTGCGATCCTCCTGCCTCAGCCTCCTGAGTTGCTGGGATTATAGGTGTGCGCCACTGCAGCTGGCTCTCTGTTGAGTTTTTCTAACCATGACTTAAAACAGATTGTTATGCTCGAATTCGGGACCCCCAAAGACCACCAGAGACCCAAGATCGATGCAAGCAGCAAAGAGGTGTTTATT